TCACTCTCTTTGCTGCCTAGACTATGACAGGGAAAGAAAGTGGTTTTGGTAGGGTCAGATGAATTGAAGATTTGGAAGTCTGACTCAGGATGGATCATTTCGTCCCAGCTCTTGTGATGGGCAACCAACTGATCAAATCTAGAGCAGTCAACCTGATTCAGTCATTACAGATGGCCTAAATCAATCAGCTTTCTTAATGCCAGGATGGGACTGAGGTATGAGAACTTGGTCTGTTACTCAGTAATTACCAACACAGCCTCTGCAATGGTAGGTTCACTCATGCACAAAAACTGAGCTACTTAGTTTTATTCATTCTCTGGAAAGAAATAAAACAGCATTTTTTGGAGTTGTTTTTACAAGCCATTAAATGCTGGGTAGAAATATATGCATCTCCTATTTCTTTTAGAATATGAGAAGCAAAAACAGGACTTTTAAAAATAAGAACTTCTCTTTACTAAATTCATATTGCAAGGCAATTTCTGATTGTACATTTTTTCCTGAGACAGGTACTATTAGTGTTCACTTACAGAAAAGGTCACTGAGGCTCAGGAAGGTTAAAGTAGCTTTCACACGATCGCACAGCAGGTAGGTGGTTGCACTAGAACATTACATCTGTCTACTAAGGCCTTTTTCAGTTCACCATGGTGGTTTTCAAACAGCTGATCTGCACCAGTGTCACAGAATTCAGACAGCTGGGACATGATGGGGTTGCCTAAGAAATTCGGAGAAGGAGTAAATAAAAATGAAATCCCAGGTGGCATCCATGTTTGGAGGAAGAGACGGAAAAATGCAAAAGGTAACTCATGCTTCTCTATAAAGCTGTGACTGTTTGGGTGGAACGTCAAAGGTACAGTGAAGACTCAAGGAAGGTGAGAGATGCCAGGAACGTGGAAAATCTGCAAAGAAAAGCTGCAGCTCAAGAGTAAAGACAGTCCCAGAGAGAAACTATATAGACTACAACCGGCAATGCTGTGAGGACAAGGCTGGCTGAGCCCTCTGGAACTCACATCTCACCACCATGTCCCACATGCTGGATAAATAGCTGCAGGAGAGAATATTTTTCCTGCTAGGTTTCATTCTTATTTTTGTCAAGTTCTTTTCTATCTTCCTATTTTTTCCTTTTAGAACAGAAATGTTTACACTGTGCTGTTATACCTGGGGACTATGTGACTTGTTTTTCCTTTTCAGAGATTCCTGGGTAAGAGTTTGTCTTGAGTCTCAGAGGAGACCTGGATTTAAACATTTGAAAAATGCTGGAGTTATTAAGAATCTGTGGAAGGGATTGTGGCATTACTGGCTATATGCACGATAGTTGTATTGTTAGGCCAAATTATGTACTTGTATTGTCTTTATTAGCAGATTAAATATGACTTAAGGAGATGTGTTTTGGCATCAAGGTGACAAGGGATGGGATGTGGTGACCAGGATGAAGTGCCAACTTGACTGGTTTGGCATCTTCTGAGTGAGTCTGGGTGGATGGAGGCATCACTGTGGGTCATGTCTGCCCTGCCTTCTTAGGCACTGTCCTCTGCTGCACTTCCTGACCTCCGTGAACTTAGAGCTTTGCTCACCACGCCCTTCCGCCTGCTGATCTTGGGCTGAATCCCCTGAAACCATGAGCCAAATTAAACCTATCCTCCTTTAAATTGTGGGTGTCGGGTACTGCGTTTCAGTGTTAAGAAAACTGACTGCTTCTCTGGCCACAAACTCCAACTGCAATGAGGAAAGAAGAGTGGCTCTCTCTTGACCCTTCTAGAAAGGTCTTGATCTTTCTAGACCCTTCTAGAAAGCCAAGGCACTAATGAGAAACTTAATAGAATACTCCTTCACCAAGTAATTTTGTGATGGTTCTGCTTCTATTTTCCTGGCTATTATTCAACCAATACTATCAGATAGTTGATTTCTCCTTGCAAATCCACAAACTATGTGAGTCTTTTTAAGTCCAGGTTCAAAACGCTCTGAGGCATGCTCAGAATGATTACCATTCCGCACCCACTTGAAAAGGAGGAAAGCTCTTCAAAAACTAAAAACTATACTAGTATTGTGTTAAAAAATACAATGCCTTGGAAACACATAGCACTTTGAGGTTTACAATGATTTTTCTTTAAATTTTTAATGGTACTAGAAACTGAATCCAGAGTCTTCACACTGACTTTCATCCCCAGTCCCCATCTCCAACTTTCTGAGACAGGGTCTCACTAAATTGCTAAGTTGCTGCCTTAATTACTTTTCTAAAATATATAACATTCAGAGTTAAAAAGGGAAAAGTTTATTTAGCTCACAGTTTGTAGTGGTTTCAGTCAATAATTGGCTAGCTACAAGGCAAGGGGGCACATGACAGAGGGGCAGAAAATAGCAAAAGCAACAGAGAGAAACAAACCTCCTTCTGTACCTTATACTGCACGCAGGCTACCTGCCCTAAGGCAGAGGCTGCACTCATACCCTTAGTCCCATATTGGACACGAATCTATTACAAACTCCAGATTCAACTGCCTCTTAAAAGTGCCCCCCCGCCGACCACATGAGGCTTTGGGAGGATATCCAGACACAAACAGTAACAGTTTTAAGGCTGGGTTCAAGCTTGTGATCCTCCTACATCAGCCTCCTAAAGTGGTGGGATGATAGGCATGTGCCACCATGTCCAACTGACAATGCATTTTTACTTAAAGAACCGTGGTTAATCCCCATATAATGGTTTGGGTTTTGTTATTCCTGCTTTTAAAATGAGCAAAATGAGGCTCTGAAAGTCCGAGGGACTTACTTAAAATCTCAGAGTATGGGGCATAAACAACCCTGGGTGTCCTCTCACAGGCCAGTGCTTTTTCTACTTAATATCACCACCATTCTTACTGCTGCAATGGTGACTTGCAGTGTGCACAATGCTGCCTTCTTAAAATCTCTAAACAAAGCATGTCCACTTGACTTTTGGTTAGGGTCTTATTGTCACTGGAGCCCATAGTCTGAATGACTGGTCTCCCTCGCCCCATTTGTTAAATTCTCCATGACTCCTTCCTCTTCTGCAGATTTTGCTATCTAAGGTAAGGAGTGTTCCCCCAAACACTAGCATGGTGCAGGCAGCCCTGCTCTGCCTCTTCTTCCTCCTTCCCGCACTCTCCCAGGCTCCCCAAATGGAGCACAACTATACTTTAATCTCTCTTTACTCTTCTGCCAATTTGCCCAGGCTGCCCCAGATGCCTCCTTACTTTACGCAAATGCTTTTGTATTGCTCTGGGAATAGCCTAATTCTTTCCTTCTCTTTTACATGTTAATGCTCTGACTTATAGCAGCAGTGGTAGACAGAAAGAAAAAACAGTAAACAAAGACATTCATTCTGTTTCACATTGTGAAGGGTACAAGAGGGCTACTGGTGATGTTTTATTACTAGATGTGAGGATGCCCTCTGGAGAAAGTTCCATGCAGTGTATGCATACAAGGTGTGTGGACATCTTCTTTATGCATTGCTGGACTTCAATAAACAATGTCAACCAGTGCACTAGCAGTCTTGTGGTAGGGAACCAGCCATCTACACTCAAGCTGAAGCAAAACGGGATGACTTTCTTATTATTCTTGTCTTAAGCCTGTATCTGTATCTGGTATACAGCAGTGCTCAAAAGCATACCTGGGTGAAGGGATCACCCGATCAAGTAATTTATAAAATAAACTTCTTTTCTGAGTGACCATTTGGGACAATCCAAAACTGAAGACCACAAAAGTGCCTCTCATCTTGTTAATGGTTGAACAAATTGCACATGGGTACCAAGGAACACTGCTCATCAATAAAAATGTAACAACTTGGGTAGACATCAAGGGCATTGCACAGAGTGAGAAAAATCAAAGCCAAAAACAGGTCCTGCATTGTATGATTTCACTTATATAACGTTCTCAAAATCATAAAATTATAGAATTTAATGGCTGCTAAGGATTGGGGATGGTGGAGAGGAGGGTGACAGATGCGATTATGAAGCAGTGGCCTTAGGAAGGTCTTTGCAGGATGAAACAGTTGTGCCTCTATGTACTTTAATGAATTTGATGTTCTGATATTCTGGTTCAGACAATGCTCTATAATTACATATGATGTAGATATGAGAGGAAGCTCAGTTTAGGATACACAGGAATATTTCTGCAACTTCCTAGGAATTATATAAGTATTCCAAAATAAAAAGTTAATCTTTTTGGGCCGGGGGTTCAGCTCAGCAGCATAAATGCCTGCTTGGCAAATGCGAAATTGGGACTTTGATCCCCCATACCAAAAAAAAAAAAAAGTTTTATCTTTTAAAAAGTATTTTCTGAGGTCATTTCTACTTTCTGTTTGACTGTGTCTGTATGTTACAATAACTTTCACGTTTAACGTTTTACAATCTCAAAATACTTCTATGCAAATTAAAAATCACATTCAAAATCACAACACTTCAGTAATGTAATTGCTCATATCTCCATTTTACAGACAAAGACCAAAACTCAGTGGTTTACTGAAAGGCACATGATTGGTATTTGGCAAAGTTAGTATTTAAACCTGATTCAATAAAACCCACATGTCTTAGCTTTCTCAACTTCAAAATATGGTTATATGGCTAAGATATAGCCTCTAGATATACGTCCAGTTAAAACACACATGCATTCTTCTTGTACCCTGGCTTCCCTACCTCTGAGTTATCATGGGTAGAGGGTTGGTGAGTTAGAGACCAGACTCCAAGCCACTAAATGGAGCCACTGGGGAGGCTCATCCATCATTCTACTGTCCAGAAGAATCCATGCTACATAGCAAGTGGCATTAGAACATCCAAATTTCCATTTCTCCCAGACTTGGGATTGTTGAGATGCGAATCCCAGTGGGCTCCTGGTTCCTTATGTTTGTAGGATGCCTGGTTGTTGGCTGGTTTCTGCTCTTCTGCCTTTACTTGACCACACATTATCTCCTGGGCTTCAGCCCATCACAACCCATTAACCCTGACCACTGACAACACGCTATACCATGGAAGCGAGCAGTGAAAATGTCTTACCAGATTAGTGAAGATGTATGTGTAATAGGCTGACACCATCCCTAGTTCAGCTGCCTGCAAAATAAAAAGAAGAAGATTAGATAACAAAAAGTCACTGGCAGTGAAAGAGCCACAAGGACCCCAAGGGGCTACCGTGTTTCTGGCCCACTGCCTTCACTACCAGGCACAGTAGGGCGTCTTAGCTGAGTCTTATCTTGCCCTTGATCTTGGAGGATGGAGTACAGAAACACCAACCTCCAGGGCAGGTCTTTACACCTCCACCCTACTCCCTACCCCTGCAGTGATACAGTAGCTCAGGTTCTCATGCACAACACAGTCCCAAGGGTATAAAGGATACTATGGAACTCAAATGGCTTCAAGAGAAATGAAGTAAATAAGAAAATAGACTTAATTATTTCTACGACTATTAACAAACAATATCAATGGCTAACATTTACCCACTATGCCGCGTGCGCCAGCCTCTGTAAAGCATTCTACATGTATTAACCATGGGAAGTAGACACTATTTTTCTTCCTACACTCCCATTTTGCAGCAGAGGAAATTGAGAGGACTACAAGCTAAGTGCCTTATACAAGGTCACATGACTCATACTGGAAAAGATGAAATAAAAGCCCGCAGTCTGATTCAGTGCTTTTAACCACACTATACCCTCCTTGAGGATGACGGTATCAGTGGAACTACACACACATCCTCTTAGAGACCTGGCATAGATAAAAGAGGCTGTCAGCTGTACGCAATGCCCAAGTGAACTCTACCCATGGGAGATTCATTCTGCATTTACAATAATACAGGAAACAAGAGAATCATTTGCAAACTTTGGTCCTTCACTTGTAACGAAAAGCAAGTTGCCTGCCACATGCTTCACCCTTGATCACAGCACAGGAGCACAGCTGAGAACTGTGGCATCAGAAAAGGCTGACTTTTGTCTGATCTTTGTACCTATCATAAATACCCCTGACCAACTTTCCCTGTCAGTGTGCCCGGCTTTGAGGGTGACGATTGCTACAGAAACTGACAGGTAGATCAGGTAAATAATGAGCCCACTCTCTCCAGGGCCTTCATCCCATCTGACAGTTGGTTAGATTTTCATAATATATCCAGCAGCTCAAGGCCACCGGGAGAGTGTTCCTGTCATGACTGTTGAGGTGGATGGGGGAGTAACAAGACCAGAGATGCTTGCATTTCCTCCTACATAGAGTTTATCTCCCAAGGAACTCAAATAACTTTGTGAGCACTCTTCCAGGACCCCTTGTAGCCTACTTGAGAAAAAGACTAGGGATTATACCTCTGTAACCCAGTGGGCAGCTGAAGTACAGAAGGGCTTAGTGACAAAGAAAAGATCACCCAAGCCTCTGCGGTGAGTCTCCGTCTCCTGCTAAGCAAAGCTACACTCCTCCTGTGCTTGCATGATGAGATATGGCAGGACACTTTTCCTCCACCTGGCCACCCACACATGTGTCACACAGTCCTTAGAGAGGACAGCTGCCTCCCACGCTGCCCAGAACCACCAGAGTCCACTGATGCAATGGTGGGCTGGGGGTGGAAGGCACAACAGTTAAAATCCATTTTCTGAAATCTGCTGTCCTAGAGATAAAACAAGAGATTCTTGGCTTTTAAGACCTGAATTCTGGGTAAACATGGAGTTTGCTACAGGAACAGCAGCTCAATAAAGTAGGGGATTACTCCATAAATCCTCCTGAAATCAGGAGATGGTAGAGGGCTGCCAAGCTATAGGAGCTGGCACCCATGCACACACAGGGGCTCCCAGAAGCCCCCTGCAACAGCCTGCACACTCACACTTTCGTACACTGAGTCTAACCTTGCAGAGGGCCCAAGGCCCCGGAGACCCTGGGAGGGAGACCCATGGAGCTCCAGAGAAGCCTGAGGAGAGGGCAGGTCTGCCTGCCTGAGGCCACTAGGATGTCAGGCAGGAACAAAGAAATGGCACTTGGCTAGTCTTGCAGCTCATTGATCAGTTTGGCTCCAAAGACTCAGAAGCTGGGGGCAGAGAGGGGGTTCAGAAAAGATGGCCATAGAGTACCCAGCGGAACTGTGTGTTAGTGAGGGTCGTTACAGGCAGAGTTTGCTTCAAAGCAGAGCCACAAAAAAACACAAGAGGAAAAAAAAAAGAAACAACAACAATAAACCCATAAAGCATTTTTAACGGAAATTCTCACTATTGGCAAGGGGGCCATAAGACACCTTTATGCTGCCGCTATGAGTATAAACCGTGGCTGACTTCTAAAAGGCAGCCCGGCAAATCATCCCCAAATCCTTACAACTATGCATACTTTTAACTCCGAATTCTACTTCCAGAAATTTACACCAAGGAAATATTCATGAATCTGCATAAAGATTTATGTACAATGATGTGCATCCCAGCACTATTTATTATGGCAAAAGATTGGAAACAACCTGTTTCTCCAACAATAAAAGGGTTGGTTAAATAAATTATGGGACATCTAGATGATAGAAAATGATGCAGCCATTAAAATATTTGTAGAAAAATACTAAATGACAAGGAGAAAATGCATGCCAGATCATTAAGTGAGAAAAAAAGCAATTTACAGAAAAGTTTGTACAGGGTGGTAATAATTTGGGGGGGGGGGAGATATCTGCAGCAGCGAAGCTAGGCATCAAAATTTAAGAGTGGTAAACTCTGGAAGATGGGATTGTGAATGAAATTTATTTTCTTCCATGAGCCTTTGAAAGTACAAACTCAAAAAAATTCAATAACTAACTAGTTACTTTATTGGGGTGGAGGAGCCCAACTTCATATGCAAGAAGTCGGGGAATAATCCTGGATAAAGAGCTGATGCCTGAGGTTCCTACCTGGGGCCTGCCCAGGCAAAGTCCAGCTATTGCCCTCTGCGAAAGAGAAGGGACTTATCTATATCTACTAAGCGGAAACTCTCTCTACTCCTCACTTTCCCCAAGGCTGACATTCAGCCCTTGAAACCTAGAGACACTTTTCCATCCTTAATAACTCCATTGATGATAGCTCCAGACATAAGAGAAGACAGAGAAAAAGGAAGAAAAGAGAAAAAAATGATGCTTCTGAGGTGTATGGGGGGATGGCTGGATGTGACTGAGCTGGGTAGACATGCAGACAGATGTGGCTTTCATGCTGTGGAAAATTACTATAGCAACAGGCTGAAGGGACAGCTCTCTATACTGGGAGAACTCATTCGGATCACTTATTACCTCTCAGACAAACACTAGCAGAGAAGGGGAAGGTGGGAAGGAAGGAGAAAGGGAGGAGAGAAAGCAACAATCACTTGAGTATCTACCAGGCTCCTCAGTTGGGCAGAGGTTAACTAGGAGACTTGCGCCCCAGTGCAAGATGACAGGTTGTGTTTAAACGTGCAATTTTAAATGGCATTAGAAGAAGCCAATGTGCTGGAGAGGATGAGGGAGCTGCTGAAGAGCCAGGGCAGAGCCTAGAAGCAGAGCTTGCTCTCTCTGGGGTGGCATATGCAGCCTGGCTACCAGCCCAGCTGAGCAACTCCCCCAATTCCTGGGAATTTGTCCAGAGTGTAGCCAGCATGGACCCCTCTCCCCAACCCCCTCACCCTCCACCCCTGCCAGGCTTCACGCAGCATCCTAGTCTGGAAGTGTATGTGCCCTAACTCTGGGCTGGCGCCTGCCCCTCTGTCTCTGAAACAACAGAGAAACTGCCTAACTTGCAGGTGGAGCTGAGCAGGCCCCACTGCTCACAGGGTTGGCCTTGGACAAATCTGCTCATCTCCCAGAGCCTCGGTGTCTTCATCTGTATGACGAAGACAGCATATATACCTCTCATCATCGCTGGAGGACTATTTCAGGAAATGACAAAGAAATGCTTTGTAAACTTCTAAACACAGCCTCGAGATTAAAGACAGGGCTGACAGAAACACACCCTGGTGTGATCATCCTGGCTGCCAATACATGCATCTACTTCCATAGCACTGAACAAGCAAGCTCTACTGGAAACACAGGGAGGGGCTGGTCAGGGTTCAAATTCTGCTCGTGGCTGAGGACAGACAGGGCTCAGAGATGCTTGAGGGAAGGAGAGAGGGGAGAGAAGATGCTCCACCCCCAGCAGCACCCCACCCCCAGCCGACTCCCACCTTCAGGAGGATGGTGTGGGACATGGAGGCATTGGCATGGATGATGATGGTGGCTGTCTTGTCATCCCGGATCTCCTTGAGGAGTGGGGTGGGGTCCCGGGTGTCATCCAGCATCCTGACGGAGAGTGTGTCCTTGGAGATCAGGAACTGCCGGAGCAGCTTCTCTAGGTTTAAAAGGCCTGGAGAGGGAGAGAGGAGGAGGTACCTGAGGTTCTGCAGTACTAACGGCCTCAACAGACGCTGGGACCATTCAGGACGCACAGTCACTGGCTTGGTGTCGGGATCTCAGACAGTGTCGAGGACCCATGACATCACATGACCAGGTTTCCTGGCCTCCTGCCATTTTAGTACACTAAAAAGAATGCTCACAAGGTCCCGTCCTCTCCCTGATTCCCTGAGGAGTTCCCTTTTAAAGAGGATCTTGAGGCTTCCTGATGAGGTGAGACCATGGCCACAGTGCACCCAGTGGCAAAGAGCTGGGATCAGAGCCCACCAGATTCAGGTCTCTTTCCCTACTTCCTGATCTTTGCTTGTGGCCTTGGTTTCCCCATGTAAGTGAGGACTTTTACAGCAGTAGCTCTCAGGGAGGTGTGAACATTCAACGAGGCAGCATGCAAAGAACTTAGGCACCTATTAAACCCACAAAAATGTCCTAATGGGCTCTAGAAAAGGTCTTTGGTTCCATGTTAGAGGTGAGGGAGGAGATTCCTCACAATCCCAAAGCTCAGAAAACAGGTCTAGCACATCTCTGAACTCTTCAGAGCCCCACGGCTCCATTAAGACATGGTATTATCATGATTATAAAAGGACGAGCTTTCAGCTACATTCCAGCAGGCGAGACCTGGCCCAGCACAGAATGAAGAGACTGTGCACCAACGCTAAGCACTCTCCCTCCCCTCCTGCACGCCTGGTTACTTGCTTCCTGGAAGCTGTGGTAGGAGGAGATGGTCCTGAATGATGCCCCCGAGACAAGAGCATCTCCATGCAACCCTGATTGTGGAAAGGCAGGCTGGGGAGGGTGTGTGTGTGTGTGTGTGTATCTGAAGGGTCACCTTCCAGGAAAGCAGTGGCCTCGACTCCGATGAAAGGAGACTGGTAGGCATTTCCTCCCAAAGCAATAACAAGAGTAACATTTATCACACACTTGTTACGTTCCAGCTAATGTGCTAAAATCTTTAGATGGCCTATCTCATGTAAATCTTCACGATAGTGCTATAAAGGCCCCAGATTAGGAGGAGGATGGGAGCAAGGGAGGTGAATCACTCACCCTACATGCTGTGGGTGGTGGGGCAAAGGTTGGTTTTTACCTATTCAAACATCTGCAGGTTGCTAGTTTCTTCTGTACTGGCAACTCGAAGATCCCTAATTCAAAGATGTCTTAAATAGAACCCCAAAGATCTTCTCTGCATCCTTCTGACTCTCAGAGATCAAAGGATGACCGAGAAGGGGCACTGAAGAACATTTACCTGACTTCTCAGGTTACAGAGACGCCATGACTTGCCTGGCCACACAGAGACACAAGGACACAGCTGGGATCACAATCCACATTTTCTGACCTCCATCCAACTCTCTTTTGAGGAGATTATGTCGTCTCTTGGGGCAAACGAAGCAGGGGCAATGGGTTTAGTGACTGGAGAGACCCAGTGACGTGTGTGGGGACTTAGGGAAGGGAAGCTCATGGTTCAGTGGGTTTTGTTGTTCTTGTGTTTTATTTTAACAAGAAGAACCAGCATTAGAGAGCAAGAGGCCAGCGCAGTGAGACAGGAAGGAACTCTGACCTTCCTCCACTATTTTGGGAAAGCTTTCCAGGGAGCTGGCGGTTGTGGCAGGGTGGAAGCAGCCCTGTGTGGACCTGTTCTTTACAAAGGTTGTATGAAGAGCCACGCTGTGCAAACCAAGATATGAAGTGGGCCTTTCCTCTGCCCCAGGCAGCATCTCTGCAGAGGCTGGTAATGCTCACCTCTGGCTGCGTCCCTACAGTCCCTCCTCACAGGATCCCATCTATAGGGGCTCTCATGCTGCAGGCACTTCTCAGTCCTGACCCAGAAGATCCAGATTCAAGCTCAGTCATTCCTCACAGACTACATAAACATCTAACCACTCCGAGGCTCCAATTTTCTTCTGTGAAATGGGTACAGGAGGGTGAGAACTCCAAGGGACCATGGGAAACTAGCTGGAAACTAATTCAGGCTGCCTCCCTGTCAGTGATCCTATATTTACTTAACCCGATAGGAGCTCAAGGGCAGGCCTCGAGAGGTAGCCTTCTCCAGTGTCTGCTCAACTGCACTCATGACCTTCCCTGAACACAAGGCCAGGCAGTGAGCAGAGTAGATGGACCAGATTCAGCTCCCACCCTCAGGGGGCTGGAGTCCTTGGATACAAAGCTAAATTCACAGCAAATCATATTCCTAGTTTGTCTGGCTTGGTTTGGTTTTCTTTGGTGAAGCTTCATTTTATTTTATATTAAGCAGAATATTCACTGAATGTCCTAGTTACTTTTTTCTCCTTGCTGGGACAAAATACCCAAAACCCAAAATGAAGGAAGAAAAGGTTTATTTCTTACAGGTTGGAGGTTTCAGTCCATACTCAGTTGGCTCCAAGGCAGTGTGGCATGGTGGGGCAGCCATTCATGGCTAGCTGCAAACAGCATGCTTGAACCAGCAAGAGAGATACACACCTTCTTCCTGCCATTAATCATATCCTAGCTCCACCCCTAGGTGGGTGAAACATTCATACCACCAATCCAAGCGCTAGACAACGAACCAATCACAAATGCTAGATCTGGTAGCGACCATAATTGCATGAGGCTTGGGAGCCACTGCCAGAAACCATGACACTGAATCTTCCTCAGAGATGATGTCAAAAGCAAATTCCTGCTTGGACAAAGGTCTGGGAGTCCGACCCCAAAGACACCAGAAGCCAGGGGAGGACACAGAGGTAGTGCTCCTGAGGCCTCTGCCATCTCTCTGGCATTCTGGGGTCGAGGCAGGGCCATACCTGGGAAGTGGTAAACAAGGGAGGCATGGTGCCAAGAGTTCTGGCGGGTAGTATGGAGAATCTTTGGACCCTAGCTGGGAAAGAGGCCAGAACCCCTAGGAGTCTCCAAATTGGCAATGAAATTCAGTGGGATTGTTCAAGGAAGCCCATGGGAAGACAGCAAGATTATGTACAGTATGGTGATGATTGACAAAAGCAGCCCAGGCACCCATGTCCCTTAAAAACTGAAGGGTTCTGTGCTTCCAGGGAAAGGAAGTCCCCCAGACATCGGATATCCTGGACATTGTGCTCCTATCAATCCTCCTGCTACTTGGAGTCCTCTGCTGCCCTTTAAAAGAGAGCAGTACAGCCCTCCAGTCCACCTAGCACCCTGCCTGTTCAGAGAGGCAGAGTGGGGACAAGCAGGAGCGAGGAGCAGCTGGGCCTGGGGAGGTGTGCAGCCCACCCACAATCCCCTACCAGAGTCACCCCTTTTCCCAACCTCGTGTGTGTGTGTGTGTGTGTGTGTGTGTATGTGTGTGCATGCGTGTGTGTGTGTGATAACAACCACCAAACAAAGCACAATATCAGGACATGAATGTAACTCCAACCCTGCCAGGCAGGCAGAATGGCAACATGGCACCTCTGTGTCCACGTCTGTGACTTCAGAATGACCACACTGCCGGGTTACTGAAGGAGTGTTAAGGGCACCTCTGCCAAGAAGGGGCTCAACAAATCCTGCTTTCCATCCACTCCCAACTCCATCTCCTCCCTGAAAACATCTCTCCCTTTTCTAGTCTTTACCCACAGCTCACTTCTCTACCTTTTACAGGATTTATTATCCAGTCCCCCAAATACAGCCCTTGGTTATAAACCATGTAAGGTATTTGATAACATGTAGATGATTGTCAGTTTACAGTGGGATTATGTCCTGATCAACCCACTGTAGGTTAAAAATACTGTAAAGTGAAAATGCATTCAACACACATAACCTCCTGCACATCACAGCGCACCACAGAGTATGGATTGTTTTCCCTCATGATCTTGTTACTGACTGTGGGCTGTGACTCGCTGCCACTGCTCTGTGTCAAAGAGTAAAGGACTGCAAAAAAAGATCCCAATGCAAAACTCCAAGTCTTTTTTTCCCCCCTGAATGTACATCATTCTTCTCCATGGTAAAGTGGAAAAACTGTGAGTCAAACCATCACAAATCAGGAACCATTTGTAGACCTATGTAAGTGTCATTTGTGTGTGATTGATACATGAATTCTTTCACAGTTTTGAACAACTCCACGCAGCCCTGGGATGCAGGGTGCAGTGTTAGCCTGGACTGCACCTAACTAGAGAATGGGAGGAATAAAGACTCTGCGCCTTAACCATCCAGGGGAGCAGCAGTGTCAGGTTGGGGCTGTCGCCATGTCACTAGTGGACAGCGGAAGGAAGGGTGCTGGCCAGAGGAAACACAGGAAGAACAGTCCCAGGGCAGACTTGTTCTTGGCAGCCTCAAGGACAAAAGCCAGGAACACGAGTGGGTGGGAGTCACGGAAACAAGACTTCACTTCAGATTGAAAAGAACCCTCTGTTTGATCTGTTAAAAGACACAGTGGACAGCATGTGAAGTGGTGAGGTCCCCACCACTGGAGGTAGTCAAGTAGAGACTGAAGCCCCTCTTGAGGACTGTAGTAGAGGAAATTAAACCGGTGAGTGGAAAGTTGAATTAGAAAAACACCGATGTCTTTGCACCTCAGAGATTCTCTAATTCTGTGAATTAGAAGAGGTTATTTTTTAATTGAAGACAGAGGAAGGGATTTGCAGAAGAGAGAGCATCATCAAGCCATATTAAGAATACAAGGAATCTCAGTGCAGTTTGACCTTTTCCAACTGTCATGTTCCTCATTCTGTTTAACAGAACCAAGAGGTTTGCCAGGGGCAGGAGCCGCCAGGGATTCAAATCTCCATTCTTCCAGTCCCCCACTCCAGCCCCACCCTCCTGGGGGACTTGGGCTCAGCAGCAGATCTCCTGCCAGGGCTGGGCTGAGAGGGACCCGAGGAGCCTTTTAGTCTCGCTCAGGATGTCCTGGATGGATCGATGAGAGGCCCAGCAGGCCAGCTGTTCTGGGGGGAAGGAGGGAGGGCATCTTCTGCAACCAGAAGCGGGGGGCTGGGAGGGGTTAGAGGATGCTGGGGAGGCCATGGAAAGCAC